AAAAATGTATTTTCTGTTTCTCTTAGAAAACTGTAACTACAGCTTCTATGATCACCACTAAGACACTACCTCTTGTTCTGAAAGCAACAGCAACCATGCCTGCCTCTGTTGTGGGTCAAAGACCTACAATTGCCATGGTGACTGTCATCAACAGCAGCCAGAAAACTGTCCTTAGCACTGATGCACAGAACACACCTGTCAACCTCCAGACAACAAATAAAGTCACCGGTCCAGGAGCAGAGGCAGTACAAATAGCGGCAAAAAATACAATCGCATTGGTTCAAGCTACAGCTCCTCAGCCTATCAAAGTGCCAGAGTTCATCCCTCCTCCCAGACTTACTCCTTGTCCAAATTTTCTTCCACAGGTTCGACCAAAACCAGTTGCCCAGAATAACATACCTATAGGTCCACCTCCCCCTATGCTTGCTGCTCCTCAACTTATTCAGAGGCCTGTGATGTTGACCACAAAGTTCACCCCCACCTCCTTACCCTCTACACAGAATTCCATACACCAGTGTTTCTCAACCTTGGCGACTTTAAGTCCTGTGGACTTCAACTCCCAGAATCCCCCAGCCAGCTGTGCTGTGCTGGCTGGGGGATTCTGGGAGTTGAAGTCCACAGGACTTAAGTCGCCAAGGTTGAGAAACACTGGTTTAGGATCTTGGCTTGCAATGGGCCTAAGTGACCCTATTGCTATATATAACTTTCCTTGAGGTTCTAATTTTATTCACAGCTTGCCTGCCTTCCAATCCCTTCTGAATTTATATTTTGATTAGACGTGAAATAAAGTCTATAAACAACCGTCAAAAAGGAGGATAAGGAAAGATGAAAAATATTAGAGGAATAAACAAGGGGTTGAAAAATGTAACAGAGGTACTAGTTTCTGTGTATATTAACTAGGTGGGAGCTAATGGCTGAAAATGGCTTTACAAGGCTAAAAAATAAAACCTGTATTAAGTTCTAAAATGAGCAGTATTATCAAGAAATATGGCCAATGGCGGTAAAAATCGCAGGGGGAGATCTATACACAATAATTCAACTCAGGTTACTAAAAATCTGTTCTGATTTGGATATCCTGTAAAATTGAATTATAGGTTCTTTAGATGGAGAACACTCCGGCAGTGGAATGCAAAAATTTTCCCTACCGGTTCTGTGGGCGTGGCTTGGTGGTCACGTGACCAAGTGGGCGTGGCTTGGTCATGTGACCAGATGGGCGTGGCTTGGTCATGTGACCAGGTGGGCTGCACGACTGACAAACACACAATGTCAAAGCAGCTGGACTTCACACAAAATGGCCCCCGCAACAAGCAGGAACCTCACAGCCCATCAGGCACAGCCGATCGTTGGAACTTTTTAAAAACTTTTGTTAGCATTTTTTTTTTTTTTATGACCGATTCAGATGAACCGGCCCAAACCGGTAGCCTTTCACCCCTGGAACGCTCTGCTTGCAACGTGGTACAGATCCATCCCTCCTTGGATGCGAAGCGAAATGCCTTCAAAGGAAAAAAAAAAATAAACCCAGAAAGTCCAGTTGCTTCTTGAAAAAGCACTTTTGCGGGGGTGGGGGGGGTGGTCACTCGTCTCCCCTTGCAGCTCCGATGTAGACTGTGTGTAAACTTTTGGTGGGAGATTCCTTTCGGAATCAAATCACCAACGCATTTCTTTTGCCCGCCTGAAGAAGAAGAAGAATAAAAACTAGCAACCTCTTTGCCGCGAATAAATCTGAGATATTCATGGATAGAAACCGGGTTGTTGCTATTTAATTGCGCTGCTTTCTTAAAAACAACAACAACAACAACAAGAGCAACAAGCGATATTCTCAGTTTTGTCTGATTAGCAGCTTAATTCTTTTGGCCTGGTTGTTTCCTGTTAATTTGGTTAAATAAGAGCCGCACTTTGCAGCTCTCTTCCACTTGCCACTGTCAAGGCTGTTTGATTAGGTTAAGGCGGCTTCCTCGCTGGGTGAAATATAATTAGCATTAATTCCTTCATATTCTTAGGAGATTGAGGTGTTGTCAGTGCCTTAATGTGCCTTAATTACAAATCTTTCCCCCCCCTCGGCCTTTACTACTACTACCACTACCACTACCACTACCTCTTCCTCCTCCTCCTCCTCCTCCTCCTCCTCCTCATCATCATCATCATCATCATCATCACCACCACCTCCACCAACAGCAACAACAAAGAACAATTATAGAATCACTAAGAGTTGGACGCAGCTGAATGGAAAACCACCACCACCACCACCTCCTCCTCCTCTTCCTCCTTATCATCATCATCATCATCATCATCATCATCATCACCACCACCTCCACCAACAGCAACAACAAAGAACACTTATAGAATCACTAAGAGTTGGACGCAGCTGAATGGAAAACCACCACCACCACCACCTCCTCCAACAGCAACAACAAAGAACACTTATAGAATCACTAAGAGTTGGACGCAGCTGAATGGAAAACCACCACCACCACCACCNGTGGAGTTTGCAGGAGACAATTAGTTTGCTTAATTGGTTCCTGACTCTCCGAGACTCCTTGCCAAGTTTTGCAGATATCGGCCTGTCAGCTCTCCTGATAAGGTCTGTGACTGTAAATCCTCCCTTGAAAGACTTTGCTGGATGTGAATGAGCAGAATTCACAGTAAATTAATAAAAGGGGTTTTTGTGGGGACAAGGAGTTTGCTTCATGCTCTTGGGCAGCCTAGGTCAGAACATCAACACACAATCTCAAAACAAGTAAATTTCTTTTGCTGTGAGAACCATCTTTAGAAATTGGCTTTTTAAATGGCCTGAATCAAAGTTTGTGGGCCAGTCAGCTTTCAAAACATCACTTCACCCAGTTAATATATATAATCATCCTTGATTATGAGTCTTAGTATTCCGGGTCTGGGAACCTGGTGCGCAAAGAGACCCTTAATATCCTGATTACTTTTATTTATTATTTTTCGATATACTTTTAATTAAAAATAAATAAATAGAAAGGCCACATGCTTCAAAAAGCTAACCTTTTTTCGTCACCCCGTGGACATTCTTAATAAATAGTCATGGTATGTTTTTCAGATGTAGCCTGACCTGTCAGTCCCCAAAGATGACTAATATAAGTTGAGGTGATTAAAAAGAAAAAACTGATTCTGTGGAGGATAGAAGAGAATAATAAGGAACCATTTCACCTTATTTGCCTTCTAATACACAAGTGTTTTATAAGTAAGCTCCCTGTGGTAGCCATTTTGAGATGGTGGCTGTCACAACCTCTCAGAATACCAAAGGTCACCACAGCTCCAAAATGATTGCCTTGTCTCTAATTAGATTAATTTAATTCTAGGTAATTTCCAGATGTGATTTTGGGTGGTTGCTTCTGCTCTCTGCTCAGACATGGCCCCTGTTCTCCGACGCCTTTCGTAAGACGTTAAGACCAGTTCCTTCATCTAATTATCTCTTAAGCTTCTCTGGTTATGGTTTTTTTTCAAGAAAGATGAGGAACTTTGTCTGCTCACAATATACGGAAGAGCAGTTTCCTTGAGAAGGTGAGTTAACATATTTCTGAACTAGTCCACCAGGTTTTTCAGTGTTTTCAACAAGAGAAAGGATGACAAGAGTGTCAGGAACTGGGAATGGACACGTTCAGTATCAAATCAGATCCTGGGAATGCTACAAAGGTCATAACTATGAAAAATGGCCATAAGTCACATTTTTTTCAGTGTCGTAACTTTGAATGGTCACTAAACAAACTGTTGTAAGTGAGGATTACCACACAGTCTGTGTGACTTTCAGTTGTTCTGTTCCCTCTTCTGATAGGCTTCCACAGTTCTGACTATTTTGTTTAGCCATGAAAATTGTACTTGTCCCTTAGTTAAAACACCCATCCCTATTTGAATTTCAGTCATGTATGTTGTCCAATGTGCTTGGCATAGGACGCGATGATGATAATGATGCTATCCAAGTTCCAACCAGAATACAACAACTCAATTGTTGTTTCTGTCATCTTCATTAGTGCTCTGGAAAATGAAGTTGCTGCAAATTCAGCTTGTTGAAACACAAGGACGACAAAATTAAACTGTCGATGAAAAAAAACCTCACCAATGTGTGATATAACAACATGGTCTGTGGACCTTCTTCCCTTTCTACATCCCTCATTTAGAATAGAATAAGTTGGAAGGGACCTTGGAGGTCTTCTAGTCCAACCCCCTGCTTAGGCAGGAAACCCTACACCACTTCAGACAAATGGTTTTCCAACATCTTCTTAAAAACTTCCAGTGTTGGGGCATTCACAACTTCTGGAGGCAAGTTGTTCCATTGATTAATTGTTCTAGCTGTCGGGAAATATCTCCTTAGTTCTAAGTTGCTTCTCTCCTTGATTAGTTTCCACCCATTGCTTTTTGTTCTACCCTCAGGTGCCTTGGAGAATAGTTTGACTCCCTCTTTTTTGTGGCAGATCCTGAGATGTTGCTATCATGTCTCCCCTAGTCCTTCTTTTCATTAAATTAGACATACCCAGTTCCTGCAGCCGTTCTTCATATGTTTTAGCCTCCACTCCTCTAATCATCTTTGTTGCTTTTCTCTGCACTTTTTCTAGAGTCTCCACATCTTTTTTAAATTGTGGCGACCAAAACTGGATGCAGTATTTCAAGTGTGGCCTTACCAAGGCCTTATAAAGTGGCATTTCTTGGGTCCTTCCTTCTTTACCAGAAAGATCAGAAGCTGGTAAGCCGCTTCTGAATCATTCCTTTTTCTGGCTATGTCAGATTTCCTACCAAGCTATTAACGACATATGTGTCAACTTCACCATTGCCTAACATATCATTTCTTTCTCAAACTGTTCCCAGAACTGTTGACGCAGAATATTGTGTCAGTCGACAGCTCCAATTAGTTGGCGTGTCTCATGACTGACAGGAGAATCCACTTTTGTTTATGAAGACGGTGTGAGTTGTATCTTATTCCTCCAACCTTCAGCGACAGACAGATGGATAGAACTATATAATCATCGATGGAAGTGGGTGATTTTTCATTTTTATTTTTTTCCCTCGTAAATCGGCACAAGCAACCCCAAACCAACAGGC